TGTAAGGCATCCTGCAAGGCTTCGTTCATGTTCACCCTCAAATGTACGATAGAAATCTGCGATTGTGCGTGTTCAATGTTCAAATGCATTTTTGCGACAGACGTTCGTTTATTTATTAAAATTCCACTAATTCATAAATCGCATAGAGTTGCTCGCCTCTTCTCCAGTTGCTCACACTCTCAACTGATGTAGCTGCCTTGATTAACTGGAATCCGGATGTAACTAATTACAAACTCTATTCTAATTATGCTAATCGAGGAAGTGCATTATACTGGATGACAAACTTAGTAATCCTTTCACACTAATGATCCTTGTTTACAATGAACGCATGTCAATTGACTAAACAAACATCCTTAAGTAGAAGTATCACAATGGACAGTGTATACAACTGTTTGTCAAAAATATCAACCAATATTTTATATTTAGAATCACCATTACATGAAATCACAGCAATATATATATTAAATTTTACTTTGAAATCTCCAGAACTAATGTCGTGAACGTAATATAATAGGAATTTATTCCAACAAAGTGTTTCCCATATATATGTTTCCATGTACAATTTTAAATTCATGGATTTTTTATCTATTATTTTGCAATGATCGTGACAAAAAGGCTACTCTCTTGCTATTCTGTTTATTGGTTATTCTAGTTTAGACAGTGACAGCCTCTTGTTATACAAACAGTGGTTTTTCTAACCCCGACCTAGTTAAAACAGCGGAAGCCTTTCGCTATACAAACAGTACTTTTTTCTAACACCGACATAGTTAAGACAGCAGCAGCCTTTCGTTATACAAACAGTGCTTTTTCTAACCGCGATCTAGTTAAGACAGCGGTATAATTCATATTATTGATCTGTTACTAAAATCTGCACAAATGTTCTTTTTCTTATGTAAAATGCTGTCAACATAAAGAAACACAAATTATTTCATAACACTCCAAAATAGAGTTGCCATAATGAAAATAGTATTAACATGTTATTGTGACGTGCAATTCAACGAAGCAGTGGTAAAATCTATCCTTATATACAAAATCGTATATTTTCGGATATACCAACTATACAAAATTGTATATTTTGGAAATACCAAATATACAAAATTGTATATTTTGTATATATTGGAATTTTCCCTTGTGTTCAGTGCAATAAAGCCTTATTAAATTGATCATAATCACTCATAAATTTCCATTGAACTACTGTAAATCTAGAAATTAAGGTGAGCGTGAATTAAATGCGAAAAATGTGAGTGGCCTTTGCTCACATTATTAAACAGCGCATTTATATCAACAATAAGACATTTTAGATAGCAGAAATACCAACTTAGACATATGCTGAAAACAAACAACTATGTATTCAACATCACTGTTTATTGAGCAGAATTTGTAACAAATGTCATTCAAACTCTAATTACATCCTGTGAATTGTCACTGCATGGGTCAAGAGTTCTACTCACTTATGTCATCACTGATCACACCTGCAAGTCAAGACGGCCTGTCCTCATCTGGCCTACACCTCATATCGCCTACACTACCATCAAAACAAATTTATGGATGAGTGCACCTTACACTTGTACCCTTATCCCGTAAGTAAAATGAACTCTTCCAACAAGATAACAAAGAATGTAAATGACTTTTGATACTGTAATTTGATTTTGTATATGAAATCATCTTCACAACTCAAATGTTTTCACAACATCAAATATCATAAATACACATGTATTATCTTAATAGCACTGTACATTTATATCCATCATCTTCATGTTTTATAACATTAGCGCTACATCCTTACTATCAAAATTACTGTAATTTGATGAAATGTCCAACTGCATCCAGAAACTGGATCACTGATCTTCTGCCAGTAGCAAGCTGCTGCTTCAGTCTCTCGATCCTTGCATCTCAGTCTCTGTCAACACGAGCACGAGGTCTCATGGCACCACCCAGTCCAATCTGCCTTCTTGACCGTCTATCTGCTGTCTCGATCTTCTAGAGTTCTTTGACAAACTGGAAGATGTTGGGATGGGCTCTCGACATTCTCTTCTTCAAGTCGTTGTGGAAACCTTCAAGATGGTTGTTGGAGCATGGACCGGTGTTATCGTGTTGATTCTACAGGGCTCGAGGGAACGTGGCATTGAAGTCCACCCATGTGCTGGGAATGTGTTCTACATTCTCGGTAGGTGGATGACTGTGAGGCTTGGTTGATGTAATGTGGTCACCAATGGTGCTGCATCTGCCATTGCAGCCAATGGTGATACACTTCCAGTGGAACAGCAAGTTGCCGCTTGACAATCAACCTGTACCGGTACCCAGCATGTAGTACTTGCTGACCGCCTCTCTGTGAAGTATCAAACTCAGCTCTTTGAAGATGTGCCATTTTCAGACTGAGGCACAAACTTAAAAACTAACATATATACCTATTCCTAAATTGGAGATGAGGTGATCCTGTTAACATTGTGAAAGCTATTTCGCTGATCAAAGTAAAGAGAAACAATAGTACTTACTAAGGTATATATATACACTTGCAGAAATTTGGAGATGAGTAGACCTGTTAAAATGCTCAGATTGGATTATATGAGGTAAGTTAATGTAATACAGTAATCCTGTATAAACAGTCAAAACAAACTCAAGGATCAGATACCACTATGAAAACATCGGATTAGTTCAAAGGCCCATGTACTCAGGTCATTAGTTCATATTAATGAATGAAATCATTAACGGGTTAATGGACAGTACCATTCTACACAACAGGGGTGTGGAAGTAACCATTTGTATTTAGTGATTGGATTTATGTAAGATTGGATTAAGGTGAGGATTCTCCTGTAAACGTGACAGAGGACATTTTCCTAAGATATACATCCACTGATGCTTGAGAGGAGGGGGTGTCTCATTCATATTGAGTCGCATTTTTGGCTAGGGACCAGCGGTCGCATTCTATTGGAGATGCATTAATTTCTATACAGTTGTACCATGTCTTTCTGTTCTGTTAAGAACAGTTTAGGGAGGAATTTGGTTTCTAACTTTGCAATATAGTGATTTGTAATTTGTATGATTCATCACTTGAAGGGAAATAGTCCCTCATCCCAAATTCTTTGATCATGCTGAACCATGTGAACTGACACACATTCATTCAGCAAAATAGACAAACAGATGCATATGCCTATTTAAAATAAGACATTGTTTTTCTGCTATGGTGCATCAGCATTTGGTAATAAAAGTGCAAATTAGTATTACCTCAGTTTGTTATCCTTTGCGTTTGGTTGCATTTCCAGGGTAAACAAAAACGGTATTCTTGTGATCTAAATATGAAGAAAGAATGCATTGGCAGTAGTCACGTAAAGGTCAGGGTTCACCATCCACCAGTGAATAGGAAAATAACTGAAAAGTGATATGTGCAAAATGAATTAGTCCCAGATATAAATATTCCAGTACCAACACTCCTGGTATTTCGATTTCCTCAGAACAAATGTTAAGGAGGAATATTTACTCAGACACTGCAGAAATATATGCACCAATATGTTTTACCCCTGAGGTAGTAATAAATGTTACATTCATTATTGTGGATTAACAAACATTGTTCAAAATAGTTATTTGTTTCAGATTTGTCAGTTTGTCGTCAAAGTCCTTTGCAGAAATTATTTGAATTCTAATGCTGACTTTAATATGATGTTATCTGATGTTGACCAGGTGAGCTACAGTGCAGTGTCTGTATATTATTTACAAAATTGTGAGTTTGTGGTATGCCTTCAACAGCATTCAGTGTTAGGAACTAAGGGTAAGCCAGCTTTAAATCTGCACTTTAAATAGCATCATTGCAGCTGTATCCCTCCTATGGGGACTCCAATATTGGACTTACAATGGATATTTCATATTTTACCATGAATTTGGAAATTAATCGATTCTGGTCAGTCAGAGGCTATTGAATCACAATCAACCCCCTCTGATTGGAACAGCTGGTTTGACGGTCACATCATGTCGTCATGTCGGAAGGTGTATTTATATACCGTTTTTGATGTAATAAGCTAGGGGGCTCTTATTAGAATATTATTTTGGTGGAAAAAAAACAGAGTTGAAAGATATATTTCGTGGTTTATGGTGATAGCCTGAAATGTTTATGTATGACAGATATATTTTGCCGGAATTTAATTGCCCATAATTAAGGGTGCATATAACACACGAGTGTGTATTATACGCGAATAAATAAGTCTTGTGTACATTGATCAGTCAGAAGGGGTGCTATTTGGGATTGTTCACCAGCCAATATATCAGCAAATATCGCAGTGGGCGCTTATTAGAGCGGGGCGCTTATTACGTCGAATACGGTAATTATACCTACAATTATAGGTTACAAAATGCAAAGTTGCAGTTACTACAATATTCAAAAGACAACAGAGTGCTTGGAATTTGGCGCTTTTCCATATACGACTGTGAGTCACATCTTTTGCGTCACCATGAGTGATATGACGTCATAATAGTGACGTTTGGTGTAGAACAAAGCTTTGCAAAGCTTGCTTAGATTTCTTTAGCGGTGCCAACCTCATGTTAGCTTTACAAGTTGCCGTGGTTATATGCTGTCAACGACTGTCACAAGTTCGAGTGAAGTATTACGGTGTAAACAAAGTGCCTGAGACATATTTTGTTTAAAGACTTGTCGGTGAATTCACATAGACAATTCACATCGGCAACCCACTCAAAACACTTGACACAACCCAAGACGTTTTACTCAATATATTTGCTAGCATCAAAGAGTTCACATTTTATTTAGTCATGGTAGAATGGAGATAAACAAAGTGTTCTCAATCTAGAGCTGGGTTACATGTAGAATTAACCGCGCTAAATTTAACATTTGAAACCTCACGCTGCCAACCGGTTTCAAATTCAATTTTGCACAGTTTTAGCCACAGGTAACCTAGCTCTACATTGAAAACAGTATGTTTATCTCCTAATTGAAATACTGGTATATGTTGATATACATTGATATTTTACTTCAGTGATGGTTACCATTACAGATGGAAGCCACATGTACTTCACTTTTGGTGGGAGAAGTTGCTCGACTTCTGCAACCCAGGTATCACTTCTCTGGCCTGAATGGAATCTTTTATGAGAGGCAACCATACAGGTAGGTTTATAAATCTCTTTATAAATCATCATACCCAAAGGCTGTATCACATGACCTTAATACATCACAATGGAATTCCCTTTCAGCACTAACACCAGTGTATGTGTAACAGCCGTATCATGTCTATAGAATGACAGCGAATACTTGTGGGGAGGTTCATGGGATTTTTCAGACTGTTCCATCAGGGATATGGAGGTCCCAGCACTGAGGCCGCGGCCTCGCGGGATTTATATATAAAAATATTTTACATTACACACACACAGCTGTTCCAATTATTGAATTAAATTTCCTCTTTATCATGTCTCATTTTGCTATCTGCACCTTTCATTGGCTGAAAGTCCCAAATAGTCCAATCAGAATCATGCTCACACATTTGTGTGGTAATAGTACAGTGATTGCTCACTACAACGCTACCTTTGGGGTCCAAATAATTTATGAGCGCTCTAGATGATCAGTTGTTTTAACCGAGGTGGAGTCGAAGGGGTAGACTAACAAGACAACAGTACATGCATTGCCTGTAGAGCTGGGTAATGGGGATTCTGGCTCACTTCCACTGGAGCCAGATTTATATACCTATACTACTACTACTACAGATGGAATTTTTTATGTCTAAACGCTGATGCGATTCAAGGATCGTCATGATATTAAACTAAATTGTAATGAAAATATTCTCTATTATTTTTACTCATACACATACCATTATTTTGAACAAAGTGATATTCAACATTTTTATTAAGTTCTTCGTTCATTATATGCTCTTTTTCTAAATTGGAAAGAAACAATTGATGACCGTATTTGGTTTGTTTGACATCACTGATAGAATAGATACCCTGTGGTAATTCTCACCATTTGATTGGCTCCATTATTATATACTTATGTAAGCATTCGTTTCAATTATTGTGGTGTGATCCAACGATAGGAAACAATCTATTTTTAATCTCCAACCAGTTCTTTGGTTTTGGCACGGAATAATTGTTGTCTCCCCTGTTCTATGAACTTTTTTTTCTCGTCTTCGCTAATACCACTGGTCTTACGAGAATTTGATTGAATCTCCTGCTTCATTACGTTGTATTTGGTGAGTTTCGACAGCACTAAACGAAACTCCTCCTCGGATATCTTACAATCAGCCATTGCTGTTGAAATATGGTCCTCAATGCTGTTCAACTTTGATCCGGCGAGTATCCGAATATTATCATGTTTTAATGCTTTCTTTTGCAACTTACGAGAAATGCATTTTATTGCTATTCCAGCCAGTCCTGAGACTCCGGCGTCTATTTCAATGCCAAGTACGATAGGCGCGGTGATTATAGTTGATAACAAACCAACACCGGCTACACCGAGTCCCATGCCAGCTGTTACAAGCGCAGTGTCAACTCTGTCGAGAGCATTCACAGCTCTGCGATACTTTTTATACAATCCAAGTCTCATCTCCCTCTCCTCTATTCAATGTTTTATGTCGCTTATTTGATGTAATCAAAATCCATCAACAGTATCCATCTTTTCAGATGCCTCATCAAGCGCCGAATATAAACCCATAATGTATATTATTATATCATATAATAGTCTTTAATTATCCCCTGAAGTGGAAGGGGGATATAGGAATGGGTGCCGTCCGTCCGTCCGTCACATTTCGTTTCCGGAGCAGATCTTGAAAACCATACCATATTTCTTCACCAAACTTGGCACATAGATAGATCTAGTGGTGAACTGGTACCTTTTGATAGTTTGGGATTTTTTATTTTTTTTATTTTTTGAGTTTCCATGGCAACGACTTGTATTTAGACTGAAAATGTCGGTAGTCCTCGTTTCCGGAGCTGATCTTGAAAACCGTACCATATTTCTTCACCAAACTTGGCACATAGATAGATCTAGTGGTGAACTGGTGCCTTTTGATAGTTCGGGATTTTTAAAAACAATATTTTTTTAGTTTCCATGGCAACGACTTTGATTTAGACTGAAAATGGCGGTAGTCCTTGTTTCCGGAGCAGATCTTGAAAACCGTACCATATTTCTTCACCAAACTTGGCACATAGATAGATCTAGTGGTGAACTGGTGCCTTTTGATAGTTTTGGATTTTAAAAAAGTTATTTTTTGAGTTTCCATGGCAACGACTTTGATTTAGAAATGAAAATGGCAGTAGTCCTCGTTTCCGGAGCAGATCTTGAAAACCATAACATATTTCTTTGTCATACTTGGCACATAGATAGATCTAGTGGTGAACTGGTGCCTTTTGATAGTTTGGGATTTTTAAAAACAATTTTTGTTTTTTGTTTCCATGGCAATGACTTTGATTTAGACCGAAAATGGCGGTAGTCCTCGTTTCCGGAGCAGATCTTGAAAACCGTACCATATTTCTTCGTCATACTTGGCACATAGATAGGTTTAGTGGTGAACTGGTGCCTTTTGATAGTTTGGGATTTTTTAAAACAATATTCTTTGAGTTTCCATGGCAACGACTTTGATTTAGACTGAAAATGTCGGTAGTCCTTGTTTCCAGAGCAGATCTTGAAAACCGTACCTTATTTCTTCACCAAACTTGGCCCATAGATAGATCTAGTGGTGAACTGGTGCCTTTTGATAGTTCGGGATTTTTAAAAACAATATTTTTTTAGTTTCCATGGCAACGACTTTGATTTAGACTGAAAATGGCGGTAGTCCTTGTTTCCGGAGCAGATCTTGAAAACCGTACCATATTTCTTCACCAAACTTGGCACATAGATAGATCTAGTGGTGAACTGGTGCCTTTTGATAGTTTATGATTTTTAAACAACTTATTATTCAAGTTTCCATGGCAACGACTTCGATTTAGACTGAAAATGGCAGTAGTCCTCGTTTCCGGAGCAGATCTTGAAAACCGTACCATATTTCTTCACCAAACTTGGCACATAGATAGATCTAGTGGTGAACTGGTGCCTTTTGATAGTTTGGGATTTTTAAAAACAATTTTTGTTTTTTGTTTCCATGGCAATGACTTTGATTTAGACTGAAAATGGCAGTAGTCCTCGTTTCCGGAGCAGATCTTGAAAACCGTACCTTATTTCTTCGTCATACTTGGCACATAGATAGGTTTAGTGGTGAACTGGTGCCTTTTCAATAGTTTGGGATTTTTTAAAACAATATTTTTTTAGTTTCCATGGCAACGACTTTGATTTAGACTGAAAATGGCGGTAGTCCTCGTTTCCGGAGCAGATCTTGAAAACCGTACCATATTTCTTCACCAAACTTGGCACATAGATAGATCTAGTGGTGAACTGGTGCCTTTTGATAGTTTGGGATTTTTAAAAACAATATTTTTTTATTTAGACTGAAAATGGCGGTAGTCCTTGTTTCCGGAGCTGATCTTGAAAACCGTACCATATTTCTTCACCAAACTTGGCACATAGATAGATCTAGTGGTGAACTGGTGCCTTTTGATAGTTTGGGATTTTTTTATTTTTTTATTTTTTGAGTTTCCATTGCAACGACTTTGATTTAGACTGAAAATGGCGGTAGTCCACGTTTCCGGAGCAGATCTTGAAAAACATACTATATTTCTTCACAAAAAGGCCCAGTGAACATAGTTCACAGGAGCTAATGCATTGCACACACCTGTCATGCCTTTTGGCGGGGGATGATGTGAGTATTTCTTCCTTGTTGGTCTTGCTTCAATGTTTCGAGAGTATACATCAACCTTATTAAATGTATATTATACGGCATAAATATCTTAGTTAGAGAAATGCTGTCACTTTTAATAATTTGGACCACCTCAACGGTTGCAACGGGTGATGCTCCCATATGAATAATACTGCAACGTTGACGTTGGTGTTTCTTGAGCCATTTAATTGATAGACCTGGTAATATTTCAAAGGCATCTTCTGGTGCATCTCCAAACAAGACTTCAATAATAAGTGTAGAAAGATTAGGTATTGCACTCAAGTTATCTTTAATATCATTAAATTCAGTAACCAAATTTAAACTAACGTTTTTTACTGCCAGACGACTAAATAACATATGACCTGGGTTTTCTGGCAGGAGAGAGACTAACCCACTTTTTCGTTTTGATGGGATATGAGCCGCGAGTATGATCTCCTAGATTACCTGTGAATGCAACTTCTTTCGGCTTGTATACATTATCTTGTAAGTGTAAAGCGTATAACTTACCATCGGTACCGGGTCTACCGACTCCTTCTATGTCTCCGAGATCGGAAAGCCTTGTAGAATTACATTGTCTGAGCGTTCCAGGGCCTGATGAATCAACCATTATTTATAATATGGAGTGTCACACTTAAGTATCCTATATGTACAGGTTGGTGTTTTACATCTAATACAGAAATTTTGAGGTCTGAAATAATACCCCGCTTTAATTTTTTATATTGTAATGTTGAGAAAGATTCCGTTCTACCGCTATTGTATTTTTCTTCTTTGACTGGAATAGCTCTCAGCAGAGTTGAAGGACTTTCGGGTTGAATATTATCCATCGTACTGATCTGATCAAGATGGATGCACAACTCTTTATAGGGAACTAAATCGGGCAATTTAATTCCATGCACTGTTTTGTTGGGTGGTATTATTCTCGTTCTGCCATCAAGTCCAAGTGTTTCTGCTAACATCTCAGCAAGAAATAAATTCTCTTCTCCAACACTTAATTTCAGAATCCCATTTGACTCATTTTGTGTGAGACTAATTCCATTAGGCTTAAAAAGTTCATCATTGAGTGAACATACGCTGTAATACCCATCAGGTATAGCAATGTGAGTGTGATCAATACCTAATTCACCTATTAAAAACCAATTACTATTTCTCGCAGCATTTATATTGGTCCACCATGGGTAATATGTTTCATCGCATAGGGCAACTTGAAGTTGCCCATCCGAGTTATCGATAGTATGAAGCAGTTGAATAGACTGACCATTTGTTATTCCTGGGACTGTGACATACATATTAAATATACAAACATACTATATCATAACTTAAATATGAAATCAACTTACATTACTAATCAGTCGATTTTAGTAACTGC